GTGGGTTAAAGCCTCTGCCTTCTGCTCGGGTCATGATCCCAGGGTCCTGCAATCGAGCCCTGCATTGGGCTCTCTGCTCAGTGGGGAGCCTTCTTCCTCCTTTCTCTGCCTGCCTCTCTGCCTACTTGTGATCTCTGTCTATCCAATAAATAAATAAAATCTTCAAAAAAAAAAAATAAAAGGGAAAGCATCTAATAAAAAGGTATTTATTATTGAGACAAGAATATTCCTCAATCCTACCCACTCCTATCATTTATTTGTTAGTAGACATTCATTTTTATGGTTTTCAATAAGCCTGTAACATTATAAGCTTAGACTTCGGAACTTTTTTTAAACAAGTACCTGAAGGTCTTCTTTATTTGAGACTCCTAGGATATATCCAGATATGGAGGGTTGATTTCAGCACCTTAGGCTGTCGGAAAGCACAACATTTTACATCCAATGCTGGTTTAGGTTGTTTGGAATGCTTAAGAACATTAAGAATGCAACTAAGCAAAGCTCAGCTGGTTCTCATCTTTGGCAAAAAATAAGATTGCGCATCTATTTCCCAGTCTTTAGAGAAGTGCCTGTGAAGATTTACCAAAGATACAAACCACTTCCTTGTCAGAACATCATGCGTTGAAGATGGAGTTGCCTGTAAATGAGCAAAAGAAAGTGTGTATTGAGGACTACTACTCCACATACATAGTAACTGCACCCCGTTACTATGTATGTGGAGGGTGCAGTTACTATGTATGTGGAGTAGTAGTCCATGGCAGGATGGATACTGATGAGAAAGGACAGAGACCCAGCTCATGCCAGGGATAGGCATAGCTTAATAATGGATGTGAAGAGTTTGGGCATGTTTGAGGGAAAGTACTACTTAGGTTCTAGCTTCTATTGATGCAGTGGGGGATGGGGTGGTTTTTTCCCTCCAAATTGCCTGTTTTCAATTGTTACGTGATAATTTCAGTAACTCATTTCATGTTCTGTGTGTATATAATTAGTTAAAATGCAAAATGATTCTGTACTATTTACTATACCTTTTTTTAATACATTTCTGACTAGTAGTAGGCAAAATCTACTTTCCAGCTCTATCAAAGCATTTTTATGTAGTGAAGTTAAAATAATTTGTATTTTTCAAAATAAAGTGGTTACCACCTTATATTTATCAGCTGTTATTCTTCAGTGGCATTTTAGAAAACAATTATTACAACATGTTCATATTTAGAACCATAAAAAATATTCTGACAAATTCTAAGAATTCAGCATTCCAGTCTGATAAAAACTAGAAACTAATAAAAAAAGAGAAAATAGTGTGACTTTTTTTTTTTTTAAAGATTTATTTATTTGAGGGGGAGAGCTTGTACTGGGAGAGGAGCAGGAGGAAAGGGAGAGAGAATCCCAAGGGGACTCTGTACTGAGCATGGAGCCTGTCATGGGGCTCAGTCCCATGACCCGTGAGATCATGACCTGAGCTGAAAGAGTCAGATGCTTAACCAACTGAGCCATCTAGGGGCCCCATATATGTGGTATATGTGCCTACATATATGGCATATTATCATTGTACTGCTTTCTCTTTTTTTTATACTTCTTTCTTAAAGCAATATGACACCTGTAATATGCTCAACCAGCAGGACATTTGAGATATTTACCAAATATTTGTTTATTCACTAGCAAATTATGTCTTGATTACTTACCATGGCAAGCCACTATACTAGGCATTAGGGACACAGTGGTAAATAAATGTGCTCCCTTCACTTGCTGTCCTTAGAGTTCAGTGGGGAAGGTAAATAAAAATAAATTAACAAAAACTAAAAGAAAAAAATTACAAATTATAGCATATGTTATTTTTTTTAAAGATATTATTTATTTATTTGAGAGAGTAAGTGAGGGAGTACGAGTCAGGGGAGGAGCAGAGGCAGAGGAAGAAGCAGACTCTCCGCTGAGCAGGGGAGTCCGACCTGGACACAAGGCTCCATCCCCAGATTCCAGAATCATGATCTGAGTCAAAGGCAGCCACTTAACCAACTGAGCCACCCAGGTGCCCTGTGGCATGTGTTATTAAGGAACAAATAGAATATTGTTAATACAGACTCATCCAAATTATAAAATCTGTTCCATTTTCTTGCCTTGGTATTTCATACTGATACCTTGTTCCATAATAACTTTGAAAAGCGCTGATGGACTTGACAAAATTGTGTGTACACATTTTTAAATTCAAAAACAATAAAAAATTTACAGAATGCTTACGTGCCAGGTACTGCTCTAGGCCCAAGAGAAATAATGAACAAAACAAAGTCATTGTGTTCATGGTGATTTTACCCTAGTGAGAAGTCAGTAAACAAATATATGATAAATGTCAGGAAGTGATAAGTGATGTGAAAAAAAGTCAAGTAGACCAAGAGGTTACAGTGTGACCAGAATACAGTGTTATTTGCACGGACAGAGAGGTGTCTGAGGAGATAAACGTTTTCCAACAATTTTTCTTCTTTTGTCTCTTAGGTCAGTTTGTTAATGTGGGATTCAAGACAATTTTTGTATCTATTGGTATTGTTCATATAATCATTAATACAGCTATGGTGAGGTCCTACTTATTTTCAATTCCTTACCACTAAAAGAGATGAAGACCTAAATTATGTTCTTCATTCCTTCATTGCTCTTCCATATACTTAACGACTTAAGCTTCTCCACCCACCCATCCATCCTTTTACCTTTTATCCAAAAAACATGTCTTGGTCTCTGTTCCAATTTTCCAAAATCTTGGTATACAATTAATTTAATTAAAAATTATATTGTACAATTAAATGTCTTCTAGGTGTTAGATTATAATGTGCAGTTGCTTCTGGAGAGAGCGCTTTTATCCAGGCCTTTCTGATAAACTCTCAGCCATTGAAATTTGATGTTTTGGATGATCTCACGGTGATCCCAGCCTTAATGTCCAAAAGCCCTAAATAAAATTGTACACCACTCAAGTGTTCTATAGCATTGCACAAGTCTAAAATAGGTAACTGGCATCCACCCCATACCTCATTGTTGGCTAACTGACTTGTCCCATAAATAGCTCAGTGTTATACTATCGGACAACTACAACTAGATTTTTATTTCCCAACACACATGTGTAGTCTTTGGTAGTCAACAAAATCAAGATCTGATTCACTAGACCCTAATTGTAACATAGTCAAGAAAATGGTGGAAATCAGTAGCCAGATCATTTTGGATGGGTTTCAAGTTAGCCCTGCCTTCCAAATTCTACATTATGGACTCTGATATTAGAGTAAGATTCAGTTTTTGTACCCTCTTGTGTAATGAAAGTAATGTTGCCACCCCAATTAGGTTGATCCCAGAGAGTTTCTGCCAACTGAATTAAAAATTCTCAGGTAGGTGCGCCTGGGTGGGTGGCTCAGCGGTTAACTGTCTGCCTGTGGCCCAGGTCATGATCCCAGGGTCCTGGGATCCAGTCCCATATCAGGCTCCCTGCTCAGCAGGAAGCCTGCTTCCCCCCTCTCCCTTTCCTCTGGCTTGTGTTCTCTCTTGCGGTCTCTCTGTCAAATAAATTTTTAAAAATCTTTTTTTTTTTTTTAAGATTTTATTTATTTGACAGAGAGAGAGATCACAAGTAGGCAGAGAGACAGACAGAGGGAGAACGGGAAGCAGGGTCCCCGCCGAGCAGAGAGCCCAACTTGGGGCTCCATGCCAGGATCCTGAGATCATGATCTGAGCCAAAGGCAGAGGCTTAACCCACTGAGCCACCCAGGCACCCCAATAAATAAAATTTTCAGGTAAATCTGAGAGAAGGCATCATGGTAGTTTTATAAAACTTCTTCTAGACTCAAGGGCATGTTTTAAAAACCTACCTACTATTGGAATATAATGGTTCTTGTTCTTTTAGCTGGAATGTATTGTTTTTATGTTGGAGAGTTTTGTTTTGTTTTGTTTTTAAGATTTTGTTTGTCAGAGAGAGCACACAAGCAGAGGGAGTGGCAGGCTGAGGGAGAAGCAAGCTCCCTGCTGAACAACAAGCCCAGTGCCGGGCTGGATCCCAGTACCATGACCTGAACCAAAAGCAGATGCTTAACTGACTGAGCCACCTAGGGTCCCTGTTGCACAGATTTTTAAATACTGTAATTTAATAGAAGATTGCTTCATAAATTCCTTAGCAGTAACTCAGAAGGTAAAACTTGGGGCATTTTTCCAGATAAATCTATGCCCTTTCTGCATAAAGCATTGCAGCTTAAGTAACTGGCAATAATACTTAGGGTTCAATTCGTGTTTTAGATATTTTCACTTTTCTTTTACTGGGTCTTTTTTGAAATGGGAGCACATTTATTGCATTTCTAGTCAAAATGCCAAATCTAAAACAAGTGCTTTTTTTTTATTTTATTTTATTTTATTTATTTATTTATTTGAGAGAGGGACCACAAGCAGAGGAAATGACAGGCAGAGGAAGAAGCAGGCTCCTTGTTGAGGAGGGAGCCTGATGCAGGACTCAATCCTAGGACTCTAGGATCATGACCTGAGCCGAAGGCACACCCTTAATCAACTGAGCCACCCAAGTGCCCTAAAGCAAGTGATTTAAAAAAAAAACCAAAAAACAAAGCAGACTCTCCGCTGAGCAGGGGAGTCCGACCTGGACATAAGGTGCTAATTATCTTACAGTTAAAATGCTGCTTATTGTTACTTCCAAGTTTGGAATAAAAGTAACTATGTCTGTGATACCAAAGTTATAGGCAGTTCTTCTCCTAATGTTGGCTTTGTACTTTCACTTGGAGGATTTCAGTATGTTTTACACTTGGCGCTTCGTAGACCAAGTTATATACCTTTCATGGCCACACTGGATGTGTACATTTTGAAACATTTTAAAGCTAAAATTCAGTTCCAAAATACTGATCTCTATTCTACCATGAAGGGCTTAAAAGCATTTATCTCTAGGTTTTTTAATTGTGACTATTTATTCTAGTGGATTTAAAGGGGGAAGAAAAAAAAAAACACACCCGAACCACCGATTGCTTGTTTAACAGATTGAAACCATGGCTGTATGGATACAGGCCCAGCAGCTCCAAGGTGATGCTCTTCATCAGATGCAAGCATTATATGGCCAGCATTTCCCCATCGAGGTGCGACATTATTTATCCCAGTGGATTGAAAGCCAAGCTTGGTAAGTGAACCCAGTTTTTTCTGTCATATTTAGTGAAGCACAGGGCTGTGGAAGTTTGATTGGAAAGAACATGAGGGAGACTTTAAAAGTTGTACATTTTTTAAAAACTGACCCATGAAAAGTTATTTAGCCCTAGCTTAGATTTTAGAGAGATGGAATAACTCTTGAGATTTTTAAAATGGGATTTTTTTCCTGTATCTTATTTTTTCCTCTTTCCCATCAATAAATAGTAAGTTGTGCCTAAAAGCATTAGATCCTTGCTGCTAATAAACCACAGTTGACAAATATGTTTTGAGTGCCTGTAGGGTGTAGAGTTCATATGAACAGAGTAAAGCCCTTGTTTGTCCACAAAGAATTTAGTGCTTAATGGGGCAGCTCAGGTATGCATATGCATATCATTTAATAAAATGTATTGTTCACAAAGTTAGCAATGGCGACATTGGTGTTTTTAAATATATACATACACATAAAGCCCAAAAGACAATACACCAAAATATTAACAATAATTACGTTCCTGGTGGCAGATTTTTTTTTTAAGAAGCAGGCAGAGTGGCAGGCAGAGGCAGAGAGAGAAGCAGGCTCCCCACTGAGCAAGGAGCCCGATGCGGGACTGGATCCCAGGACCCCAGGATCATGACCTGAGCCAAAGGCAGTGGCTTAACCCACTGAGCCACTCAGGCATCCCTTGGTGGCAGATTTAACAGGCGTGTTTTTACTCTTATTTGCCAAATTACTGTTTACATACTCAGAGGGAAAATTATTTTTAAATTCTTTCAGAGTTAGTATAATGCAGTAGATTGACAACAGAGCTTTCGAATGGACGTTATTGTAGGCTCAGGGCCTGTTCTGCTCAGGGCCTGGGAGACATGTTGGGTGGCCTGCAGCCTGTCCTTCTGATCTGAGGGGCTCATCAGCTGCTTCAGGCCTCTGCGGGGGGGTGGCAGGGTGGACAGGGCGGGGTCCACCCCTGCAGAGCCCAGGACAAGAGGCCACTCTGCGACTGTCCGAGCAGGCTTGTGTACCTGACAGTGTTGCCACCTTGCAGTAATTGCGGTTCTGTGTTAATAGCAGATTTCTGGTCAGAAGCTAGAGAGCATCAAAGGAAGGCAATTTTCTGGGCAATTTAAAAAATCTCAGCCTCTTGTAATGAAGTGAGAAAAAAACCAAGCTAAACATAAGCACATCGGCTACACCTTGTCTAGCGCTTTTCCATTTTTCTCATTTTCTTTTCTGTTTTAATGACTTGGAGAGTTCAGAAAAACATTAGTAGGAAGTTTCTGGTGATTTAAAATTTCATTTAGAAGATTCCCCATGTAGTTTCTTACCGAACGAATGTTAAAAGACTGTGTTGATATCAAAGAAAATCTGAATTTTATTTAGCGTGGTTTTCTTAAGAACATAAAGATTTTAATTAATTTATTTTTTTAAAAGATTTTATTTATTTATTTGACAGACAAAGATCACAAGTAGGCAGAGAGGCAGGCAGAGAGAGAGGGGGAAGCAGACTCCCTGCCGAGCAGGGAGCCCAATGGGATGTGATGCGATGCGGGGCCTCAATCCCAGGATCCTGGGATCATGACCTGAGCCAAAGGCAGAGGCTTTAACCCACTGAGCGACCCAGGCGCCCCAAGATTGTAATTTAAAAAGATGTTTATTTCTTCATGTTTAAGCTAAGAAAGCTTCCCTCCCTCCCCCACTTTTTAAGTAGAAAATTGAGTTTTCAAGTGCCAGAACCAGTACATGGTTCCTGTGAGTTTTGCACAGAGACCAGATCTTCTCAAGAGTGGGTTCCTCAGATGAGGAGCATTATTGCCAGTGGGAACAGAGGTGCAGGCTGCCCTTCATTCCTTCCAGGCTTTCATTTAATACATAAACTTTACTTAGTACAGAGAGGATACGTATTTAAAATTTGGCTTTCTCTACTGCCTTCTCAGAGTACAGATGCGGGTATATTCACTGAACTACGTTATCATCAGCGTCTGGGCACACCTGCTTGAGCCTTTGTCTGAGACTAGTTGCTGACTGACTTCAGGGGGTAAAGGTGCAGCCTTTAGCGACCACCAGATCTCGAACTTGGCTCCAGACCCGGTCAGCAGTAACTGAACGTTACTTCAGTCTCACAGCTGTTTAGTTTCTTCAGCGAGCTGAGTTGAGCAATTTAATGCTGCCCAATAGCAACTGTTGCCTAAATTGTTTGAAAAAAGAGAGTTGGTGAGGGGAGTGGGGGAAGGAGAGAGGAAGGAAGGAATAAAGAGGAAAAGGAAGAGAGGGAAGGCGGGAAACTGTCCAACCTGTCACCAGTTCAACGGCTCTGAATTAGTACAAAATCTGTAGAGTGGTTTCTCCGCGTCACTGGAAGAGTTAGCATTGCCTGGAGGTCCCAAACCTGCGACCAGTGACTTGTGTCAATGCTTGCAGGCACCTTCTGTCTTAATATCTCGTTTCCAGGCTTCCTTAGAAATGGCAGTCAGTGTCACTGCACCTGTCTTTACTTTAAGAAGTACTGTGTGAAATTAGCAACACACAGAACTAGTCAAGGCTGGCAGAAGCATGTAGAACATTCTTGACCTTGTGCCCCCTTACACCCTTGAGGGGTAACTATAAATAGGAAGTTATCAGAGCCCTTGTTTCCTTCAGAGTACACGAAGCACTTTCCTTTTCCCTTCATTTCTAGCGATAGTGTAAGCACCAGAGCAAGTCAGTAGAAGGAAGGAGAAAGGGCAGTACATTGTAAAAGAAAGAGAGAGAGAGAAGAAAGAAGAAAAGAAAGGAAATATATACAGTCCACTAAGGTAATTAGTGGATTAGGGATAGATTAATAATATAGGCATCTAGACAATTTGAATTGGACTGTTTCCTGAAATTTGCCGTGAGCATTATGAAGAAATCACTTCAGCTAAAGAAAAGGTGTGATGCGTTGAGGCTGTATTTGCATGTATGTATACATATGTATGTAATTTTTTTCCCCTAGGGACTCAATAGATCTTGATAATCCACAGGAGAACATTAAGGCCACCCAGCTCCTGGAGGGCCTGGTGCAGGAGCTGCAGAAGAAGGCGGAGCACCAAGTCGGGGAGGATGGGTTCTTACTGAAGATCAAGCTGGGGCACTATGCTACGCAGCTCCAGGTGGGTGTGAATGAGGGCTCACGCTCAATTCTCTTCCCTAGGAGAGACTCTCCATTTAGTACTTCCCATGGAGCTTTTCTTTCTCTGCTTCAACCCAGTGTTACATGTTAGGTGTATAAAGTTCTTACTGTATGATTTTGGGATTGTAGCCTTTTATTTTTAAACCTTTTATTTGAAAACAATTTCAAATTTATAGGAGATTACAGGATTGATACAAAGAACCCCTACATATGCCCAGAAACACCCGTTGTTAATATTTGTTTTATCATATTCAATCTCTCTCCACACACATTTTTTGTGACTTAAGAGTAAGTTGCATACATCATGTCCCTTTGCCCCTAAGTGCTTCAGTGTGCATTTTCTCTTCCTGGTTGTAGTACAGTTATCAGCCTCAGTACATGTCACATTGACAAAACACTCTTAGGTAATCATATCTATATTTCCATTTTGTTAACTGACTCAGTAATAACCTTTATGGCATTTTTTTTTTTCCCTCTGGCCCAGGACCACATATTGCATCCAGTTGTCGTGTCTCTCTCTCTCTCTCTCTCTCTCCCTCTTTTTTTTTTTTTTTTTAAAGATTTTATTTACTCATTTAACAGAGAGTGAGAGTACAGGTAGAGCGAGAGGGAGAAGGAGGCTCTCTGCTGAGCCAGGAGCCAGATGTGGGACTCGATACCAGGACCCTGGGATCCCGACCTGAGCCAAAGGCAGCCGCTTAACGAACTGAGCCACCCAGGCGTCCATGTCGTGTCTCTTTAATGTCCTGTAATCTGGAACCATTTTAACCTCTTTGTCTTTCATTACATTGCCTTTTTTTTTCCCTAAGATTTTATTTTTAAGTAAACTCTGCATCCAATATGAGGCTTGAACTCACAACCCAAGATCAAGAGTTGCATGCTCTACTAACTGAGTCAGCCAGATGCCCCTGCATTGACATTTTTAAAATAATTTGGCTCGTCTATTTTTTTTTTAAGATTTTATTTGTTTATTTGACAGAGAGATCATAAGTAGGCATAGAGGCAGGCGGTGGGGTGGGGAGCAGGCTCCCTGCTGAGCAGAGAGCCCGATGCAGGGCTCGATCCTAGGATCCTGGAATCATGACCTGAGCTGGAGGTAGAGGCTTTAATCCACTGAGCCACCCGGGCACGCCTCATCTATTTTTAAAGATAAAATGGACCTCCTTTTGGGTTTGTGTGATGTCTCCTCCTCATTAGATTCAGTGATGTTTAAATTAGATTAAGTGATGTTCTGTCCCTCTCAGGATATCACATCTAGAGACATACACCATCCATGTTTCCTGCATTGGAATTTTAATTACTCAGTCAAGGTGGTGTCCAGTTTCTCCTCTGACGTGGTCCTCTTGAAATTTATGTATCCTTTTTCCAGGAATGATGCCCTAGCACTTTAGGCAAATTAAGAGGCAAGAAATAAAATAATCTTGCCTTCTCATTGTAATTGGGTTTCCTACGACATACTTTTCTCCTCCCCCAGTAGTATTAGAGGAGCAGCATTGCTTGTGATTATGCCATCATGTCTCCAGGAGTCTCCTCCTTTATAAAATCTCACCCCTGCACTGAGGTAGTGTTAGGCCCCATAACATGGTGTGGAACAAAGTGATGTCTGCTGTTGGATTCTTTTAGAACACGTACGACCGCTGTCCCATGGAGCTGGTCCGCTGCATCCGACATATTCTGTACAATGAACAGAGGCTGGTACGAGAAGCCAACAATGTGAGTGTCCCGTGGGTGTGGGGAGAGGAGCTGGGAAGTCCTTCCTTGCCCACTTCTCTCTGGACGCAGATTTCTTAACATAATTTGGTGTGCATCTATTGGTATCTGTATAACCAGAGCACTGTCCTAAGGGGCACAAAAGTAGTAGAATGGTCTCATCATAACTGATCCATAATCTTGATGAGATTATCACCACAAAACAATGTGGACAGGTGTAAAATAGTTTAATCCCAACTGAATGGTTTTTGAGTAAAGCATGCTCATATTCAGGTGAGATTACTTAAGAAGGATTTTTGCTGAGCCCCCTTTCAACCAAGTGTTGAAGGAATGGCCAAGACCAGGTCACCTAAATGGCTGGATCCATAAAAGCCTTATTGATGCCTCCCCTGTAAGTTCATTTTGGGGGTCTCTAGGATGCTGTCTGTGAGAGGCTTAGCCTCTTCCCCCAGTTACAAGAAGGTCTTGAGTGAGGACACAGATGCTGTGTGTTCACACAGCCTTGTTCCCCGCTGTGTCTCCAGCACCCCACACGGTCCATGGCATCGGGTCGGTGAAGGAATGTGGAATGAGGGGTCACCATCATTAGTCTGCAAACCCAGATAACTCCTGGCTGTGCTGAGTTCTACTCTCTCCAAAGAGGGCTTAGGTGGACCCTGTTTGGGTGACTCTGGTGGAGGCCAGACTGTCACAGAAATTTTTTTTTTTTAAGATTTTATTTATTTATTTGACAGATCACAGGTAGGCAGAGAGGCAGGCAGAGAGAGAGGAGGAAGCAGGCTCCCCGCTGAGCAGAGAGCCCGACGTGGGGCTCGATCCCAAGACCCTGAGATCATGACCTGAGCCAAAGGCAGAGGCTTTAACCCACTGAGCCACCCAGGCGCCCCGAAATTTCTACTGTGGCTTAAGAAGGTGTCACAGTTGGCCAGATCACCTATTTTCCCTCCTTTTCTCCCCTCCTCCTCATTGGTTCTCACAAATGATGTGTGCAGTTCCTCTGACTCAAAATTCTACTTTTGGGATTTCAGCCAGGTTTGAGGTTCTAGCATTGGCTTTTCCTTCATAAGGTTTTCTTCCATCCTCACTGTGGCCTGCACTCTCCCCATTCTGTCTCCAGGGTACTTCCCCAGTTGGAAGTCTTGCTGACACCATGTCCCAGAAACACCTCCAGATCAACCAGACGTTTGAGGAGCTGCGGCTGGTCACACAGGACACAGAGAATGAACTGAAGAAGCTACAGCAGACCCAGGAGTACTTCATCATCCAGTATCAGGAGAGCCTGCGGATCCAGGGTGAGGCCCGCACGGCCAGGGCGGTGTATGTCACGAGGGCTAGAAGGAAATTCAGGTCAGATTGGAAGAGAACCAGGTTTCCATTTAGAGGCATCTCCTTTCTCTCGAGTAGCAGGGATTTGCCCTAAGGTTGGGGCAGGGAGGAGGAGGCTTAGGAAGGAAGAGAAGTCACAAGCTTGCCTTCAGGAAGTGTGGGCCTCACTCAGGTTTCCCGCACCCATGTTCTTCCTGGTCTGTTGGGGAAGACATTTCCACCTGTGGGAAGAAGTTCACAGTCTAGTAAAAAAAGTTTTGTGTATAATTGATGTTTCATAAATGCTGCTTTACTGAAATGTTAAATTCTCTAAGCAAGGAAAGTATAAGGGCTAAGAGCTGTGTTTGTAATGACAAATGTTTAATGCTGTTTTGTGCGGCTATTCAGAGGCTGTCCTGGCACCTGAAGGACAAAGCTCCCCTTCCTTGTGTAAATCCTGCTAGGTACCTGGGTACTGCAAACTTCAGCAGTAGGTCCTGGGTCCCCACTGGGGCCCCCTACTGACCGTGTAGGAATTTGACAGGGTGACTTTAATTTCCCTCTACCTGCAAGCAGGCCCCACAGAGAATTTCCGAAAAGCCTCTGCTTGATCAACCCGGCTATACAGACGCATAGCCGTCCCTATCCAGTGCTTCTCTAAGACTCTGCATGTGGGTCAGTCTTACAGCTGTCTTGATATTATTTATTAATAACTCCATCTCCCTCAGTAGAATATAGTCTTTGAGAAGGTATTGTGTCTTATACCTCTGTACCCTCAGGCACGCACATTGCCTGCACCATACCAGGTGTTGAGTAAATGTTGGTGGGATTGTTCCAGCATGTCTTCCTCCATCTGAATCCATCTCAGACTGACCTCAGGGAAAGGGTGGCCCTCTTCCTAGACTGGGGAACAGGAAAATTCAGGCTGTCAGTTCTACCCCAGCCTTTGATGGTTGATAGTTCTTCCAGTCCTCTTCTTGGGTTTTCTGTTTCCTATTTATGGGTTTGCATTAGATTCTGCTTTGGGTTTCTACTCACCATGCAATGTCAGTTCAATCTCATTTATCAAGTTGACTCATCAGAAACGCAGACTATTGCTCTGTTTGTGCAAGAGAAGGCTCAGCTCCCTCCAGTGAAGCAGAGAATTGCCTCCCATCTCCTGACCTCCCTTCCAGAAGCTTCCACAAAGTGCCAGGAGAGACCTAAGTGGATCACTCACTTAGGGAGGTTGGACCCAGGTGTGGGGATCACCAGCACCCCTCGTGGATGGCAGGATTTCTGAGGTGGCCTCAGGACTACTCTGCTGTGTGCCACGGCTGGACAGTAGTCTTCTCTCTCAGTCCCCAGTCATGGGATCAGAACCGAATATCCAGTTCTCCTCCAGTGCTGGGGTTTTCCTGGGCTGTCTCGAGTTGCTTTCGTCTGTCCCAGCTTGTGTGTCCACGAGGGTTCAGAACCGTATTTCCAGTTCTCTTCCAGTGCTAGGGCTTTCCCGGGCTGTCTCGAGTTCCTTTTGTCTGTCCCAGCTTGTGTGTCCACGAGGCAGGGCCTCGGTCAGTGTGACATGGCCCTCGACCACGATATGCTGATGCTCCCATCTCCTTGTCTCAGCCCAAGTGAGGACACAGGGATACTCAGCAAGACGTTGGGCAGGCCGTGATAATCCCAGTGTGGAGGACAGTGGTTACCTTTGGAGGCCGGGATGGGTTTGCAAGCAGGGAAGGACGTACAGGTGGCTTTCCCTGTGGTTTCTTCAGCTGGGTTATCAATAAGCAGGTGTTCCTTGCATCACTCTTTCTACCTTCCCTGGGTCTGAAGTATTTCATAATAGATTTTTGGTAAAACGGTAAGGAGGCCTCCCTGACTCTCCCTTCGTGCCATGGATGAGATCCCCACGCTAGCGTGGAGAGAAGCTGCCTCCCTGTCCTGAGAGAATCTTGCTGTTTCTGTGTTGCTGCCAGTGAGCACTGTTAAATTCTCTAAGCAAGATTCCCTCCCTCTCGCCACCTTCTCCTTCTGTCCCTGTGTGTGCCTGTCTGTGCCTCTCCATCTCCTTCTGGTTGGTGCGCTGAGCTCACGGTCACCCAGCCTGGACAAACCAACATGTTAGGCCCCTGCCAGCACCCGGAGAAACCCCTTGTTCCAGAGGAGAGGCTGCTGGGCTCCTGGGGCGGGACAGAGCCCGTGGGGCAGGGGCTTCCCTAGGCGGTCCTTCTGTGTGGGGTGGGACTGAGCAGCCGCTTGTCTCTGGCACCCTGTAACCTGCACTGGAAGCCACTGCCCAGGAAGAACCAGCTCTGACCTTCAGGGCCCACGAGCCGGGAGGTTCCATGAGCCTTTGGTGGATCATCACTTACTTATTCCTTGTCGACTCACTGAGGCAGGGGCCAAGATTCTGCCATTTTGCACGTGGGTAAACTGAGGCCCAGAAGAGAGAAATGATTTGCCCGAGGTTCCCCAGTTAGTAAACGGTGAGGGCACACATCGAACCAGGCAGCAAGGCTCCACGCTGGACCCCCGTGTGGCGTGAGGAGGTCTGGGCAGGCAGCTGTGTAGACTAAGATGGGAAGGGAGGCCTCGGGGGGCTGTGCCCGCAGGCATCCATCTGCACAGTCCCTAAAGGGGAGATCAAAGTCGAGAGGCCAGGGCCCAGAGTCCGCTCAAGTCTGGCTCCCTTGGCTGCTGGAGCCCCAAGTTGCCATCGGTGCGATGTTGGGCAGACCCTCAGGGCCTTGCCTCCAGAACAGCTGTTGGTGTTCTACTGGGCTTCCTGCAGGAAGCCAGAAAATGATGGTCGCGGGTGTCCCATCGCCTCTTCTAGCTCAGTTTGCCGGGCTGGCCCAGCTGAGTCCGCAGGAGCGTCTGAGCCGGGAGACAGCCCTCCAGCAGAAGCAGGTGTCCCTGGAGGCCTGGCTGCAGCATGAGGCCCAGACGCTGCAGCAGTACCGCGTGGTAAGTGCGGTCTGCGTCCTCTGCTCCCAAGCGCGGAGGCCCACATCCCGGGCCATCCGGGGAGCCCGAGAGAGGGCTAGGGCCGGGAGGAGAGGGGACCCTGGAGAGCTGGAGGCCAGAACCTTCTTTCCTGTGGGGAGCGTGTGAGGGAGAGCGGGTTTGGGAGAGGGGAGGGCCTGTGCCCGGGGCCTGGTTCCCAGCCCTGCCTCCCGAGTGCGGGCTGTTCTGTGGGAGCCCAGAAGGGCCTGCTGTCCCCACCTGCCTTCAGGAGCTGGCCGAGAAGCACCAGAAGACCCTGCAGCTGCTGCGGAAGCAGCAGACCATCATTCTGGACGATGAGCTGATCCAGTGGAAGCGGCGGCAACAGCTGGCAGGGAACGGAGGGCCCCCCGAGGGCAGCCTGGACGTGCTGCAGTCCTGGTAATGGTGTTTGGGGGTGGCTGGGGGCAGGGGCGCTGCTTCTGGCGTCTCCTTGGGCAGCCAGCTCTCTCTGTGCTGCAGCAGGGCTTAGTTCACCGGGGCTTCTGGCTCCTGATGCCGGCTTTGGGGCCCCCGTCATGTGCCCCGTGGCCAGGAAGGGAGTTCCCGTGCTGGGGAGGGGGACAGGGCTGCGTGTGCAGAGTGAGCCTCAGGCGGAGTGGACCGGTTCCGGGGCGCTGGTCCCGCGCAGCTCTGTGTGTCTGAAAGGCGGGGGGCACTCTGCTCCGGGGCCAGGAGTGGTGGCTGAGGTGCAGAACCTTCCAGCACGAGCGAGGAGCTGGGTCTTGGGGCGTTCTCCCCAGACTGGGGCCTCTCGGCCTCGAGCCTGGGGCGTGGGGTGATACCATTGTCCTCCCGGTGGCCGGGGCTCCCTTGCAGGTGTGAGAAGTTGGCCGAGATCATCTGGCAGAACCGGCAGCAGATCCGCAGGGCTGAGCACCTCTGCCAGCAGCTGCCCATCCCCGGCCCAGTGGAGGAGATGCTGGCTGAGGTCAACGCCACCATCACAGACATCATCTCAGCCCTGGTGACCAGGTGATTGCCGCCTCCAGTACGCCCAGCCCCTGGGTGGTTGGCGTGGAGCAGGCCGGGGTGCTTTGCCCACCGGGGTTGCGGTAGGGGGGCTCTCGTTGGAGTCCTTGTCTCTTTTCCCTTGGGCCTGCATCCCTCTCTGTCCTCAGTTGCAGTGGCTGCTTGGTGTTGACCTTGCCCAGTCTCTGTTGTGGACGCTCCGTGGACTGCCCTTGTCCCCCCGCCCCCAAGCCTGGGCCAGCTGCTGAGTCCTGTCACTGCCTCCCCTCCCACCACCTCCTCTGACTCTCGGTGGCCTCCCCGGGAACAGGAGCTGTGCCGTGTGCCCTTCCTTTGCCTGCCGAGCCCTGGTAGCCTCCCCGCGTCAGTGGGCGGGCCCTGTCCCCTGAGTCAGCATCATGTGTGGTCTGGTCCCTTGTGTCCCCGCAGCACGTTCATCATTGAGAAGCAGCCCCCTCAGGTCCTAAAGACCCAGACCAAGTTTGCAGCGACGGTGCGCCTGCTGGTGGGCGGGAAGCTGAACGTGCACATGAACCCCCCGCAGGTGAAGGCCACCATCATCAGCGAGCAGCAGGCCAAGTCGCTGCTCAAGAATGAGAACACCCGCAAGTACGCGTGCCCTCCCCCTCACGTCTGGCTCTTTCAAGGCTTTACAACAGGAATAATGTGCTCCAGCATCCAAGTCAGCACTCTGGATGCTGCCAGTCGTTTTAGGAGCCCTGTGAGCCCTCTGGCCTCTTCTGGCTCAGAGAAAGCATACAGGCTTTCCTTCTGTGGAAAAAGTACATGATTTTCATTCATTTAGTAGGAATATATCCAAGAACATTTCTTTTATGTTAATGTATGTTTATATCTTATATATTTTATGGAGCTAACATTTCCTTTAAATGATATCCATTTTTACAACCTTCTTTTTGGGTCCCACCCAGTATATTTTCTACCCTACATTTACTGACATACTGCGAGGGTATTGTGTCAAGTCTCTGTCTGCTCTGCAGTGACTACAGTGGCGAGATCCTGAACAACTGCTGTGTGATGGAGTATCACCAGGCCACCGGCACCCTCAGCGCGCACTTCAGGAACATGGTGAGCGTGGGAGAAGGAAAAGAACAAATCTTCCCTAGTTGTGTGAGCGCTCTGACCTTTTTCATTTGTCTCCTTTGCAGTCCCTGAAACGAATTAAGAGGTCTGACCGTCGTGGAGCAGAGTCAGTAACAGAAGAAAAATTTACAATCCTGTTTGAATCACAGTTCAGTGTTGGTGGAAATGAGCTGGTTTTTCAAGTCAAGGTAAAGCCCTCCCTCAGCTGTGTGGTGTGTGTGTGTGTACTTTGTATTATAAAAGAATTGTTTTGCTCACATAGTGTCTTAACCTTCAGTGGACAGTAAGTGGAGAGACCTCATCCTTAAAATTGTGTGTCTTAGATTCTCTTAAGATGTGCAGTAACAGGAAATAGCAAGTTGAAATAGCTGGAGGGTGCCTGGGTGGCTCAGTGGGTTAAGCTTCTGCCTTCGACTCAGGTCATGATCTCGGGGTCCTGGGATCGAGCCCCACATCGGGCTCTCTGCTTGGCGGGGAGCCTGCTTCCCCCTCTCTCTCTGCCTGCCTGTCTGCCTACTTGTGATCTCTCTGTCAAATAAATAAATAAATCTTTAAAAAAAAAAAGAAGAAGAAGAAGAAATAGCTGGAGGTATAGGTAGGAATGAATCAGGGAAACCTCACTCCAGATGACTTTGAGTAACAGTTGTAGTAAGTTTTAGACATTTGTTACTTGCTATTTTCTTCTAGAAATACTCCATACTCGTTCTCTTTTCTCTCTTGTTCTCCTTTTGAGAACCTTACTGCCTCCTTCAGAAGTATCTAAGCCAACACTTCTTAAAATATCTAAAATTTCTAAGATTGCACCACTGTGAAGAGTCCTGTGATTCCTGGAGCCAATCAGGTTCTCTATTTGAGTGCGACATTTACTGAAACTGAAGAGGGAATGAATGTGTTGTCATAAAGAAAAAGAAGAGCAAGAGAGGAAAGTGTCGCTCTTGGCACTCAGCCTTTCTCTTTTGTGTTTCTAGACCCTGTCCCTCCCAGTGGTGGTGATCGTCCATGGCAGCCAGGACAACAATGCGACGGCTACCGTCCTCTGGGACAATGCTTTTGCAGAGCCTGTGAGTGGATTCCCTGAGCCTGTGGGTCTCAAGATCCTGATGCTGGTGTCATGAATCTCTTTCATGTGTTCTCTCCCAGAAAAGCATAGAAAAGCGCAGATTTCTGTAGTGGGAGGCAGAGTAGAGAGTATGTGGAGAATGGAAAGAGCGTGGGCTTGGAATCTGGCCAAGGGTTAAACTCACGCCCCGCCATTTCCTCACGTTGTGACCACACGGAATTCACTTTCTCTCTTTGAGTCTAAGTTTCCCCAAGTGTCTGTACCACAGGGATAGTAGTGGTCCATAGTGCTGGTAGAAAGATGAAATTAGGTAACATTCAGGGGCACCTGGCTGGCTCAGTCAGGAGAGCATGCAAGTCTTGATCTGGGGATCATGAGTTCAGGTCCCATTTTGGGCAGAGTTTACTTAAAAAAATAATAAATGAAATTAGGTAACATACAAAATACAAAATGTTTGTCACGTAGTCACTGTTTAGCGAATAGTGTTTTAAATCCTTGGGTCAGACTGTGAGTGGAGTTCGGAACTCCGGAAGGTGGCCCTCTCAGAGCGTTACTTACAGTTTAGCAGTTGCTTCCTGCCCTCTTCCCTCCAGTCGATGAGGGTGCCGTTTAATGTCTTTTCCAAACTTGAGGTTCTGTGATTCATACCAACTCTCACAAAGAATGAGATGCTTTGTCTAAGGGCAGGAATGTGGTTTTGTGGGTCTGTGCGTCAAACACTCTCTGACCACTCGTGTGCGCTTGATGAGCGTCTTCAAAACATTTCTCAGGAAGAGCTCTAGGTATCACACATTTCCAGCAGCAAGTACTCCATGAAAGCCTGAAAAAAGGTTCTGGTTGGCATTCAGGATATAGAATTATGTCCTTCTCTCACATACTCTAACATGAGTCTCAGTGAGTTCTCTCAACAGTCCTCTTTACAGGGGCCCCTGGGTGGCTCGGTTGGGCAACTGCCTTCAGCTCAGGTCATGATCCTACAGTCCCGGGATCAAGTCCCACATGGGGCTGCCTGCTCAGCAGGAGTCTGCTTCTCCCTCTGACCCTCTCCCCTCTCATGCTCTCTCTCTCAAACAAATTTTTAAAAATCTAAAAAAAAAAAAACAGTCCTCTTTATAGAACAGTATTTTTGCTGCAAAGGTGAGATTTATAGCAGAAATTCTCCCATGCCCATTCTATAGATCGAGTTTGAGGCTTCTCTTAAAATTGCGTGCAGCAAGTCCTGATAAGCCTCCTGAATAGGGTTGCCGCCTCTCCTCTCATTCCCCTCCCTGCCCCGTCCACCGAGCTCATTCCTCATGTCACGTTGGCCGCTCTTGCAACATGATATTGCTAAATAAATTGCCTAAATTTAGGCAATACCTAAATAAATAAGCATTTTTAGCATTTTCAGTTGTGTTAATGACTAGTGTACATCTTATGCTCTTTTAAAATAAATATATACTTGTGGGGATTTATTCTACAGATATATTTCCATCTGTGTCAAATGACATAAGTACGTTGCAGAATTGTTTATAATAGCTAAAGATCACTGGGCTGATACATAGATGTCCATCTATGGGGGCCTGGCTAACTATAGTATTGTTCTTCCATACTGTGGAATATTTAGCAGCCACAGAAAAACATGTGTTTATGTGCTAATGTAAGGTCTTACAGATATTAAGTGAGAAAAGGGACAGGTAGAACGTGTGGATTATATGCTATTATATATATGTAATATATATAATATATATAAATAAATAATATATAAAATAGGTGAATATATATATTCAATCATTTATTTATTTATTTTGTTTTTATTTAGAGAGAGAGTGCATGAGCAGAGTCAGGGATAGCAGGAAAGGGAGAGAGAGATTCTCAGGCGGACTCCCTGCTGAGCATGGAACCCAATGCAGGTTTCAGTCTCACAACCCTGAGATCATGACCTGAGCCAAAAATCAAGAGTTGGGTGCTTAACTGAGAGAGCCACCCAGGTGCCCCCATTTATATTTTTAAAAAGGCATGCATAGAATATGCATAGAATATCTTTGGAGGCATACGCAATAAACTAGATTATATATTCTGGGCAGAGGAACTGGGCTGCTGGGACACAGGGTTAAGAAAGTGACTTCACGGGGCGCCTGGGTGGCTCAGCCTGTTAATAATCTGCCTTAAGCTCAGGTCATGTTCCCAGGGTCCTGGGATCGAGCCCCACATCCACCTTCCTGCCCAGCAGGGAGTCTGCTTCTCCCTTTCCTTCTGCTGCTCTCCTTCTCTCTCAAATAAAGCCTTAAAAAGAAAAAGAAAAAAAAAAGACACATCACTGTATGCCCTTCCGTACTTTTAAAATTTTATATTATGTGATTCTGTTGCCTATTCCCAAAAAATGTTGTAATAATGGAAAAATAAAATGAAGTACCATGGCTGAATGGGATGAAAAACAGTTTATTAAAAATCCATATTATAACCTGCTTCTCAATTACAAGTGGTCCAACTCAGTTTCCATTCTTCCACATAAAATTTTTTCACATTGAGCTGGGTTCAAGGATCACAGTTACGCACACGTGCGCGTGAGTACGCACACAATTCTCTCTGCCTGCTGCTAGAGAACCAGTCTGAGTCCCGTTCCCGTTTTGGTTCTCGTTTTGGTTCTGTGGCTCTTAGAATATAGGATGGGACTGGAGGTTCAGCAGCTCATTTACAGAACACCATAGAGAGCTTGAGGGTACCTCCTAAGTTGTCTCACAGAGCTGCCTGTGTCAAAAAAGTTAGAATTTATCCTCAAGCTCAGCGAGACAAATGTTTGTAACTGCATTGAGCCATCAGTGTTTTCATTTTGCGGGTTGAGTGAATAAATCATGCAACTGTTTTCTCATAAGATTCTGGCTTCCCTCCGCCTCAGGGCAGGGTGCCATTCGCCGTGCCCGACAAAGTGCTGTGGCCGCAGCTGTGTGAGGCGCTCAACATGAAATTCAAGGCCGAAGTGCAGAGCAACCGCGGCCTGACCAAGGAGAACCTTGTGTTCCTGGCCCAGAAACTGTTCAACGGCAGCAGCAGCCACCTTGAAGACTATAATGGCATGTCCGTGTCCTGGTCCCAGTTCAACAGGGTGAGGGACCCGCCGCCAGCTGCCCTTGGATCAGTCCCTCCAAACTAGATGCCTTCCGGAGGCTTCCAGCCCGGGGCGTTTGTTCTTCATGACTCTTAATAAAATGGACCCCACGTAGGCGCCTGGGTGGCTCAGTGGGTTAAAGCCTCTGCTTTCGGCTCGGGTCATGGTCTCGGGGTCCTGGGATCGAGCCCCACATTGGGCTCTCTGCTCGGAGGGGGGCCTGCTTCCTCCTCTCTCTCTCTCTCTACCTGCCTCTCTGCCTACTTGTGATCTCTGTCTGTCAAATAAATAAATAAAATCTTTAAAATTAAAAAAAAATAAAATAAAATAAAATGGGCCCCACGTAATAGGAAGCTCCTGAACAGATGGATAAGCACATAATTTTTTATGTAGAAAATTCGGTCTTTGAATATTTAAGTAAACTGGGCTTTGTGTGCAGCTAGTGGATTTTTTTCCCTTTATAAAGGAAATAGAGCAAAGCAAATGAGAGCATGTCTCACAAGAAGTAAAGCTTTTGTGATCAGAAGTCCATGGGTCTTTCCCATGGACTCTCTGATGCTCCCTGATGCATAATCCTGCAGAGCCAGGCTACCGTGGGGCCCTCAGCCCACCAGAGGGAATGCTGAGGGAGGAAGCGTCTCCCCCAGCATCGGGTAATTGAGATGTCACCTGTCACATCTTTGACTTTCAGTCCACCTTTTGTTTCTCTTTGCGTACACCTCCATCCCCAGGTGTTTTAAATGTCCTAATTCATAAAAGCAAAGAACGAGTCAGCCCAAATCCAAGTGAAGGTGTTTGTAGCAGGGGCCACTGGGTGTTGGTAACTTCTCTGTTTTCCCTTCTGTCTTCCTCTCTGTCCGGTTTTTTGATGGTAGGACCATTTGGTAAAACTTGGATAAGCATGTGTATTTGTATGATTCTGACAGTGTAGATGTTTGTTTTTCATTTAATTTTTTTCAATTTAAGTATCCGCAGGCAATATTCTAGGTGTTACACTTGGCCTTCTTGTGCTCATTGTTGTATCTCCAACCAGGAGAATTTACCAGGACGAAATTACACATTCTGGCAGTGGTTCGACGGTGTGATGGAAGTATTAAAAAAACATCTCAAGCCTCATTGGAATGATGGGTGAGAATTGTCATTTCCTAAGTCAGCCAATAGAGTATGAAGCTCTTCTTTCCGCTGTTAAAACATCACATCTGTTTCTCCTCTTTGGCCTCTGTGATCCAGGGCTATTTTGGGTTTCGTGAACAAGCAACAGGCCCATGACCTACTCATTAACAAGCCTGATGGGACCTTCCTGCTGAGATTCAGCGACTCTGAAATTGGTGGCATCACCATTGCTTGGAAGTTTGATTCTCGTGAGTTCCCTCCCTTTTTAGAACATATTTTGGGGGTGCCTGGGTGGCTCAGATGGTTAAGCATCTGCCTTTGGCTCAGGTCATGATCTCTGGGTTCTGGGATCCAGCCCCACATCAGTCTCCTGGCTCAGCAGGGAGTCTGCTTCTCCCTTTACCCTCCCCCATCTCAAGTGAATAAATAAAAAATCTTTAAAATATGGTTCTAGTTAGCTGCTTTTGTTGTAAAATTTCTTCAACAAATGACTTACTGAGCACTAATTATGGGGTCAGTTCTGATGAAGGGCCTGCGAATGGGTCACCATGATGCAGCTGGGGCCACATAAAATCATAAAATCATACCACGGGAAACACAGTTACTAATTCTGAGAGACAGATGTGTAACGGTGAAGTGGCTACCTGTCACACAGCATTCTGTCCGCAATCTGAGCTGCTTCCCTTTTGAAATGTCTGCCTTCTTACTACTGAACCAGAGCTTATTTCAGTGAAGAATTACTTGGATATTTAGGGAGTCGTTAGACTGGAAGTAATGTGCTATTTTATTTTATTTTTTTAAAGATTTTGTCTGAGAGAAAGAGATAGCGAGAGAGCAAGAGCAGGGAGGAGAGGGAGAAGCAGGCTCCTCGCTGAGCAGCGAGCCTGATACAGGGCTCGATCCCAGAACCCTGGGATCATGACCTGAGCTAAAGGCTATGCTTGACCAACTGAGCCACCCAGGTGCCCCAGAGTAATATGCTATTTTAATTATTCCTTTATCCTAATCAACATAAAGGCATGGCCACTGACTATTTCCATCCAAGAACAATTCTTTTCTCTGATCCTCACAATAAGTTAAGGGTAGCTCACTCGTTTTTTTGCAACTTAAAGATACTAGCAGCTTTTCATAGCTCTCATGCAGCCTCTGCATGACGTGGACATGCTTCCTGGGTCTCTCATGTACTTTTGTACAGGGATCAAGGCTTGGAGTCAATAAGAACTATTTCTTCTACAGAGGAACTGAAAACCATTTGAATGAAACTACCTGAGATCATGGATCTCTAGGGAAGTGCTTACCAGCTTATCTCCCCGTGGCTTTCTTAAATAATTGAGCCACAACCTCATTTGGTCTTTTTTTTTTTTTTTAAGATTTATTCACATACTTAAGAGAGAGTGGAGAGGGGTAGGGGCAGAGGGAGAGAGAGAGAGACCCACAAGCAGACTCCCTGCTGCAGGTGGAGCCCAACATGGGGATGCATCCCACAACCCTGAGGTCACGACGTGAGCCAGAAATCAAAAGTCAGATGCTTAACTGTTAAGACTGAGCCAACGAGGTGACCTACAACCTGTGGCTGTTTTTAAATGGAGATCTTTATTGGGACAGTTCTAATATAGAGCTTTGATTTGTAGTATATTTGGGTTTTAAGATTTTCTGTTTAGAAATCTGCTTAGAATATGATTATTCTGTTTATTGTTCTAGAGGAAAGGATGTTTTGGAACCTGATGCCTTTTACCACCAGAGACTTCTCCATCCGGTCCCTGGCCGACCGCTTGGGGGACCTGAATTACCTCATCTACGTGTTTCCTGATCGGCCAAAAGATGAAGTGTACTCCAGATACTACACACCAGTTCCATGCGAGCCTGCCACTGGTAACGGTGTTCGTGCTCTGATTGGGTTTTGTTGTGATTTTTGTTTTCTTTTAGTTTTATGTGTGTATGTGTGTCTGTCTTGCAAAAACACGTACACAATTAGTATTTAGTTATTGGTGTTCAAGCATTATTCAGGAGAGCTGTAAATCCCAGACTATATTCTTCGATCATATCTGCTGCTAACCCAAATATCAAATGGAAGGGAACAAATTGCTTTTATTATTATTTTTTTCAAATTGTTTTTAAAACAAGCTTAGACCCAGTAAAATTAGAAAGATAAAATATGGGGCACATGAGTGGCCCAGTCAGTTAAGCATCTGCCTTCGGCTTAGGTCATGATCTCAGGGTCCTGGGATTGAGCCCCATGTCGGGCTCCCTGCTCAGTGCGGAGTCTGCTTCCCCTCTCTGCTGCTTTTCCTGCTTGCGCTCTCTCTCTCTCTCTCTTTCTCTCTCTCTCAAATAAATAAATAAAATTTTTTTAAAAAGATAAAACTTGTTTTTCAAAACAGATGGTTTTAGTGTTTCTGTTCATAAAAGTATTCTGTATTAATTGTAAAATTTCCAGAAAAGTTTGGAACAGATAAGGCATTTATCCTAGGGAAATAGTCAAACAGGATGCATGCACCAGGTTATCTCAGTGAGTTTGTTTATGTACGTGCACATGTACATATGTACGTACGAATGTATGTAGTAAGCTACCACCAATGTGGGGCTTGAACACTGGATCTTGACATCAAGAGTTGCATGCTCTAATGAATGAGTCAGCCAGGTACCCCAGGTTCTCTCGATATTAATTCACAACAGAAAACTGTGAATAACCTAAACTGTAAGTCTCTCAAATAACCTCAAATCAACATACAGTGGAATTCTATGCAGTCATTAAAGTGATGTTATAAGATTGTATTTACAGACCTGCTCAGCAGAGAGCCTGTTTCTCCCTCTCCCTCTCTGCCCGCCTCTCTGCCTACTTGTGATCTCTCTCTCTGTCACATAAATAAATAAAATGTTTAAGAAGAAAAAGAAATAGTCGATGCTTAACCCACTGAACCACCCAGGCGCCCCCACACCAGCATTCTTCTTAACCAGCCACACGGCATGGACAGTACAGGTTGAGTGACCATCTGATTAACCCCAAACACAGAAAGTGCAGGGAAACAAAAGAGCACACAGATACTTGACTGATACTCCCTTTCCTAAAAGAGGAGATACTCAGAATGACTCTGGGGACCATCAAGTCAGATTCATTCCTCTGATTTCTCGGTACAACCCCTGACAAGTCTTTGTACGTCTTCTGCTTAAAGCTTTTCAGTGATGGGAAATCAGTTCTTCCCAAGACAGCCCCTTTCTTTTGTGGGCAGTTCTAATTATGACAACATCCTTTCTGTGATTGAAAATTTGTCCTCTTCTGCTCGCCTCAATTTATTCCCTGGGACACAAAGCAAATCCTATCACTCTGCTGCGTCTATAACTTTAAACTTTTAAAATATATTTTCTTTTTATACTTAGTGTACAATTAATGCTTGGTTTGGATTTGTGCTGAAGTACATGTTTTCTGTGGTTTGAAGAATTTATTAACACATCCAAGCCAACTCAGAAGATATTTTAATTTACACTTTTAGTATTAAGGCTTCTAGACCAGGTCCTCCTAACAAATTAAAATATTAAGTGCTTGTATCAGATCTTAAGATAGAATGATGTAGTTGTGTACTATGCTGAGAAAAGATGTGATTCTTAAGGGAGGTTGCATTTTTATTTCATTGAGAACTTTACTTCTCATCACTGTTTCCCCCTCGGCAGCTAAAGCAGTAGATGGATACGTGAAGCCACAGATCAAGCAAGTGGTCCCTGAGTAAGTACCCTGGTCTCCTGCTGCCTCCTTTCTCTCTCCCCCAGCCCCCCTCACCCCTCAGCCCTGCTCCTCCCACTCACCGGCACTACATGACCCAGCCCTTCCTTCCCCCCTAAAACCTGGCTTAGCTCTGGAGAGGGAACTGGGCTTAGTCTCAGTGGGACCAGGACCCAGGGCCCCACTCCCACAGCTGGAGTCCCAGTCCCAGTGGGCACTTTGTCCTTCCACACCCCCAAAAAAGGTGTAAAAATGTCCCCCCAAGCCCTCCCCAGGTCAGCTGTTGCCCGGAGGCTGCTAAGGCTCTGCCATGTTTCTCCTGCAGGTTTGTGAATGCGTCTGCAGACTCTGCCGGGGCCAGTGCCACCTACATGGACCAGGCCCCCTCCCCAGCCGTGTGCCCCCCGGCTCATTATAACATGTACCCCCAGAAGTAGGTTGTGTTCTGATGGGGCTTTGCGGGAAGGTACTGGGCACCTGGTCTCAGGCTGGGCATCCTGAAGGCTAGTAGGCGAAAGGCCCCAGATCTCCTGTGGGTCTGAGATCACCCAGTCTGGGCTCTAGCATGTCCCCAGGTGGGAGAGAGATTTGACCAGAAGATATTGGTAATTTAGAGTGGATTTGGGCAAATGTCTTATACTCTCCTCTCCCAAAGTGGAGATTTTTCTTGTTCTGTGTGAGGGCCAGATGGGCTTTAGGTGTATGGACAGCCAGGGTTAGGGACAGCTGGGTGGTTATTGTAGTTTGAGTTTCTCTGTCCAGATAGCAAAGGATTCTACTCACCACTGTTTAGATCATGAGTGTCTTTTCCCACAAAGCCTAGGCAGGGGGTATAGGCAAGCTTGGGCCATTCACCTGGTGGGGTTTGGGGCTTGGGTTGGTCTCTGCTGCTCATCATCGAGCCTCTGACAGCCTTTCCCTTTCTGTCATCTTTTCTGTTTTCCTTCGAAGCCCTGACCCTGTTCTTGACAATGACGGGGACTTTGATCTGGATGACACAATGGATGTGGCACGGCGTGTGGAGGAGCTCTTAGGCCGACCTATGGACAGTCAGTGGATCCCTCATGCGCAGTCGTGACCCCCCCACCCCATCTCCGTCTGCAGCTTCTTCGTCCTCGCCAGAGGAGTTACTCTTGTGGATGTTTTAATTCCATGAATCGCTTCTCTTTGGAAACAATACTCATAATGTGAAGTGTTAATACTAGTTGTGACTTTAGTGTTTCTGTGCATGGTGGCACCAGTGAAGGGAGTGTGTGAGTGTGTGTGTGTGTGCGTGCGCACACGTGCGTGTGTGAGTTTGCATGTTGGACTGTTTCTCCCCCTTGCTGTGCAGAGTTCAGTTGCAGCATTGGGGCCACAAACAGAGGCTGTGGTTGTTTCAACCTTGTGCAAAAAGGCAGTAGTTCCACAAACCTTGGAACTTGGCCATGTGTCCGCTCAAGTAAGAGAAGGACATAGGGAGGAGAAAGCACCTCCTCTCTGTGAGGTTTGTCACTGTGTCTGCCAAGCAATTGATATATAACCGTGATCCTCTCTGCTTTCCTTTGAAACGTATAAACTGCCTTTTGAGAAAGAAAGCCTTCCCTCTCTTCCACCCCTGTTTTCCTGGGTAGGGATGGGTAAAGAGGGAACGTATGGTGATTGTTGGGGCAAGGGAGGTCATGGGTTGTCCGATGGGTAGTGGCTTTTTAAATAACACTTAACCCATCTACATGTTCTCTCCCTCACCCCTCCTTCCTTCCACTCTGTGGAATTCTACTCAGCTCTGTGTGTGTATACACGCACCCACATGTTTGATAAATTAGAGGAGAGAGGGTCATGTAACTGCAGCTTACGACATTGACGTCCTTTGTGTCGTGGCTAGAGTGGAAGGCCCAGCTGTGACCCATAGGTGCTGAGAAAGTTGCCTTGCTCCCTGGGACATCTGCCCTCCAGTCTGCCCATCCTTCTGCCCAAGTGGGGTACTGCGAGCTTACTGATGACAGCTGTTTGCACATGGTGGTGTTTTATTTCTAAATTGAGACTTCTTATTTTCCTCTTCCCACCCTCATCAGACATCACAATTCTTTCTTCCTGTGGCAGGTCCTGTGCCATTCATACCCAAGTCACCTTGTTTCCCTTCACTGTTCACATGGGCTGTCTTGGGGAGGGGGTGGCAGGAGTGCAGTCTGAACCCAGGGCCAACATGTTCCTCGGTGTCATTGCCCACTTGGTATGGGCTGCCAGGTGCCGGGCATTGGTAATTTGGGGAAATGCAGTCAGTGGATTTCCTGGGATGTTTGGTAAGCTGCAAAAAACAAAATGAAAACAGCTTCAGTATAATGTCCACAATTTCTTCCATAGCTTTATATCAGATGGAAGGAATGGGCTATGGCAGTCAGGTGGGAAGAGAGGGAAACAGATATAGCTTTTGGGGTAGGCCTACAAGGCCACTCACCCCTGCCCCCCCCCCCAAGAATCAATGACTGCACCCAGGAGAGAATGATCCTAAAAACCTTATTTTTATACATGTGAGTAAATAAACATATTTTTTTTACAAAAATGACTTCTGAATTTATCAGTGTTTTGATGTTAAAGGAAAATATTCCTCTGTAGTAAATTATTTATTGGAAGATGACTTTTTAAAAGCTGCTGTTTGCCCTGGCTTGGTTTCATACACTGATTTATTTTTCTATGCCAGGCAGTAGAATCTCTCTGCCTCTGAGGAGCAGGCCGACCCCTCCATGATACCAGCATTGACATAGGATGCGGCTAAGCCCTTTACATGCCCCTCAAGATTTGATTAAAATTCTACCGTGAGGATCAGAGCGGTGGGGAGAGGAGAAAAGGAAGCCGGACCGCTCTCGGACCCTGACCTGCCTGTCCCACGGGCTTCACCAACACTGGCCTGTGAGTGCTGCGCTGGGAGTTCAGGGGACCCTGACAGGTGGGGCCTGACACCCCTTCAGCCTGGACCGGACCCAGCCCCCAGGAATGCTGAGGGCAGAGTTTGCCCTTTACAGTTGGCACTGGGGTTGCGGGTACTGAAAAGTGTGGCTGCCCCGAGCGTAGGGGTCCTGTGCTTGTACAATTGCTAAGCTGTCCTCAGTTTTCCTGAGGTGGTGCCTAGAGATGGGAGAGATTTTTGACTGAAAAGGTGTGCTTGCTATCTGCGTTATATTTTCTCTTTTCTCCCTATTCCTGCAAACCACAAAAGAGGCAGGGGCAAGTTGTACACCTCTGCCTCTCACTTGCTCTCTCTCACTCTCACACACACACACACGTCATCAAAATATTTCAATGTGTGGAATGTGCAGGGTTTTATAGGGGGATGGGGAGACTAAAAGTGAATATAACAAAGTAGAAGTATACTTTTTATAATTTTTCTTTTTAAAACTTTGTGAAATTATTTCAAATATATATTTTAGTGTTGAGGCAGATTAGTATATAGCCACCAAAAAAGTATTGTGTACAATTTGGGGCAGTCACAAAATTGTGTATTTTATGTTATAATAAAGACTTCTTCCTCTGAAGGGACAATACTGAGTTCTGTTTTTATTTTTTCCCATCAGGTGGTGAAAGAGGGTAGTTTTGGTAGGGAAATATTCAAAATCATCAGTGTGACTGTGAAAAGCAGAACTAGTTGGGAATTGGCCTCAGAGAGAATGTCTTCAGCTTTGATGGCAGAGGGGGCATTTCTGAACTGCCTGTTCATACATAAGATGTTTTAAAAATTAGAATGATAGTCTGTTATCTCTTGCCTCCTGATTCCACACTCTTCCTTTTAGAGAGCTGATCCTTGGGGCGCCTGGATGGCTCAGTCAATTAAGTATCTCCCTTCGACTTGGGTCATGATCCTGGGGTCCTGGGATCGAGTCCTATGGCATTGGGTTTCCGGCTCAACAGGGAGCCTGCTTTTCCCTCTCCCTCTGCTGCTCCCCCTGCACGTGCTCTCTCTGTCTCAAATGAATAAGATCTTTAAAATGAAAGAAAGTTTGTCCTTAAACTTCAGCACATTTCAAGTGTCCACCCTGCACGGGGCATGGTATGTAGGGACAAGAAATCATTCTTGAGGATTTTGGCTGAGAAAAGACAGCCACACAACCAATCGTGATAGGATATTGGCTTGTGCTATAGTAAAGTTATCCTGAGGCCGTTACTGAATACCAGAGAACACGGAGAAAAGGCACCAATTAACTTGAGCTGACTCCTCTAAAGAACACATAGAATTAAGAAAAGAGAGGCATTTGGCCAGAGAGACAAGAGCAAGCAGCCGCTGGAGATGAAGGAGGGCGGGATCATCTCCGGGTCGTGAGATCAAGCCCAGTGTTGGGCTCAGAGTGGAGCCTGCTTGAAATTCTCTCTCCCTCTGCTTCTGCCCCCACTACCCACTCACGTTTTCTCATTCACTCAAGATATTTTTTTTTAAATGATCAGGTCTAGGAGATGTGTATGCAGAGTAGGCTTTAGAACAGAGAACTTCGAATCCTCCAAGGAACTGACTTCCTTTGCAAGAGAAATTCAAGCTTAAGAGTGCTCTCGAAAACACTGGAGGTTTGTGATGAAAGGCAAATGGCAGGAGAACAATAGCTTTATCGGAGATAGAGCCTGAAATGGGGCCAGTTAGTGTGCTACAGAGGGATGGGGAAAGACAGCGGGGAGGTGCTCTCTTGGGGTCAGAACATATCTCAAACCCTGGCTGTCAAACTGTCCCTTCAAAGAAGCCTGAACTTGATTGGATCAATTTCTGGAGCAACTTACTCCCCAAAGCATTGTTGAAAAATAGGTAACAATCAGCTAACAGTGCCTGTGGCTTAACAGTAGGGTGTGGTCAAGGAGACCCATCTGTGAAAATCGCCCTAGTTGTGCTAGGGTGACTGTGGGCATTCTCAAGTCTGTCCCGCCTTACAGACCAGTATCAGGCTTCACACTCTGGAGTGGTGTGTGGGAAGTAGACAGACTCCCTAAAATGATCCAGCCGCTCATTAAACAAATAACAAGAACAAGCCCTGGAAAATTCACAAATACATGGAAGTTAAACAACATACTCCTAAATAACCAACTGAGAAAGAAGATTTAAGTTGAAATAGTCACATTTCACAATAAGCAAGTCAAAACTTACCACAAAGTAACAATAATCAACATAGTGTGATACTGGCATAAGGATAGACATATGGACCAGTGGAATAGAATTCAGAGTCCAGAAGGAAACCCATGTGTCTATGGTCAACTGATTTTTGACAAGGGTGCCAAGACCATGCAATGGAGTAAGAATAGTCCTTTCAACAAGCAGTACTGAGATGCTGGATAACCACATGCCGAAGAATGAAGTTGGAGCCTGACATCACATACAAAAATTAACTCAAAGTGGATTAAAGGCCTAAACGTAAGAGCTAAAACTATAAAACTCTTAGAAAAAAAAACATAGATAGCTTCATGACGTTAGATTTGGCAATGATTTCTTGGCCATGACACCATGAGCAATGTAAGATGTATTGGGCCTCATCAAAATGAAAACTTTGCGGGGTGCCTGGGTGGCTCAGTGGGTTAAGCCTCTGCCCTCAGCTCGGGGCATGATCTCAGGGTCCTGGGATTGAGCCCTGCATCGGGCTCTCTGCTCGGCGGGGAGCCTGCTTCCCTCTCTCTCTCTGCCAGCCTCTCTGCCTACTTGTGATATCTGTCAAATAAATAAAATCTTTAAAAAAAGAAAACTTTGCATCAAAGGACACTTAGCAGAGTGACTAGTCACCCCACAGACTGGGAGAAAATATGTATAAATCATATGTCTGATAAGGGATTAATACCCAGAATATATAAAGAACTCTACAATAGGAAGAACTTTTAAATGGAAAGAATGTGAACAGACATTTCTCTAAAGACATAGTCCACACGTGGACAATAAGCAGGCAAGAGATGCTCAGTCGGTAGAAATGCAAACCCACAATGAGATACCACTTCTTAACCATTGGATTGGCCATTGTCAGAACAAAACAAAACAAAAAGCTGGTAGGGCATGTGGAGAAGTTGGAACCTGTGTGCACTGCTGGTAGGCAGCTGCTGTGAGGACAGCATGGATATTCCTTGAAAAATTAAACAGAATTACCATGTGATCCAGCACTTCTACTTCTGGGTATTTTCTCAGAAAAAAAATGGAAATCAGGGACTCAAACAGATATTTGTGCCTCCGTGTTCATAGCAGGAATAGCTAAAAGATGAAAACAACAC